TTTCCTTTCCTTTCCCCTTTCCTTTCCTTTCCTTTCCTTTCCTTTCCCCTTTCCTTTCCTTTCCCCTTTCCTTTCCTTTCCCCTTTCCTTTCCTTTCCTTTCCCCTTTCCTTTCCTTTCCTTTCCTTCTTCTTTCCTTCCATCCATCCATCCATCCATCCATCCATCTATCATTGTGAACTCATGGGTCTAAACACATTGGCTATGTTTTAATTCTCTGCTCCTGTGGGAATTTCTCTAAGTTGGCTTCTAGGTTTTTTTTTAGGATAAAATGGTAGTACTCTTGGCAGCTTCCTATGACATGATGCTCCTGGATCATTTTGTACAGCCATTTCTCCAAGGAGTCCTGGTTTCTTTTAGTGGAAAATGGTATTTGGAGATCATCAACTAGACTAGATGTGACCATTATTGGTACTGGCTTGGTCATTGTTTTCTAGGCTTTTTCAATGAACAGACGCAAGGGGTCATGAGGGGTCATGTTGATACTTACAGTTCAGATTCAGGACTGTCATATTTTTACATGTTTGTTTGACATTTGGATCTTCTTTCTTCCACACGGAGAAACCTGGTTCTCAAGGACACAGAGAGTGGTAGAATTAGAATTAGAATATTGCAGTTACCTACTTGCTTTACCCTACTCTACATAACAGTTTAGAATAACAGTACCAACCTTATCTTCAGCAGTGTGATTACTGAAACCATAAAAAAAAGTTTGCTGTTATTTTCCCCTTATGGTATTTCTCACCAGAAATGTAAGACAGTTTTAAAATGTAGGGATCTTTGGATTTTCTCTGGAAGTATGCATTTCCTTTTTACTTTAAAAATGTTAAAAGTGTATTTCCTGAAACTTAATTAGAAATTATGCAGGTCTGTTGAATTCTATTCAAAACTCTTGGGACTAATCTAGGATCCTTGAGTGGTTTGAACCTCTGTGGGTGCCAGGTTGGTATGGTATACTGATTTTATATTGATCTGCTCCAGTTCTTTTGAAGGATCTTATTGATCTGGGGAGATCTTTATCCCCTAAGTAAGCTGAAATCCTGATTAGCTGTGTATAGCAGTTGATAATGTGATAGTACACACATGTAGAGTAAAGCAGGCGCAGTCAGGATTGCTTAGTCCAGTGAATTAATGTAAAGCTGGTCTTTCATAAAAATGCTGAAAACTTGTTTCTCAGTTCACTGTAGTTTTATAATTTGTTCATAGTTTTAAAACTTTGGTAGGGAATGTAGTTTTGAGTAACTTCTAGAAAATGCAGGATTTTTTTTTTTTTTTTTTTTGCCTTGTTACCACTTACGGAGTACCCACATACGTAAAACATTGTAGGGACTGGTGGTGCATATGATAGCTGATGATAATAGAGAGCCCTAATGAAATAGTAGGTATTGTTTTGTTTTGTTTTGTTTCTTGAAGATTTTATTTATTTATTTGAGAGAGAGAGAGGGAGAAAGAAAGAGGGCATGCACGAGTAGGGAGGAGGGGCAGAGGGAGAAGCAGAGTCCCCCCTGAACAGGGGGAGCCGACGCAGGGTTCAATCCCGGGACTCTGGGATCATGCCTGAGCCAGAGGCGGATGCTTAACCAACTGAACCACCCAGGTGCCCAACAGTGGGTATTGTTTTAGGAGCTACATACGTGTTAACTCATTTAATCCTCATAGAGCTCCATAGGTAGTACTGGTTATTATCTTTTTTGTATAGACAAGGAAACTTGCCCAAGGTCCTCTAGCCAGTGACAGAGATGACCTCAGGCAGCCATGTCAGAGTGTGTGCTCTTAACCAAATGCTCTTGTGCCTCTCAGAACAAATTTGAGGAGACAGATTCCCAGGCCAAAGAAAATTCATTCTCTAATAGAGTAATGGTTAATTATAGAATCAGTCCTTTGTTGCCTGGTTATAAGACTTATTCAAAGTTTGTTTTTATACGTAAAGTTTGTTCTTAATTGGAAAAAATGTTGGTGAAGTTTTAATATGATTTTACTATTTGTGAACTCACTATTTTACCATCAAATTTGTTTTTTTTTTTTTTTTAATAAGATTGTTTGTTTGATAGAGCGAGCATGTGTCTTCAGGGGCAGAGGGAGAGGGAGAATCCCAAGCCGACTCCATGCTGAGCATGGAGCCTGACCCGGGACTCCATCTCATGACTCTGAAATCATGTCCTGAGCCAAAATCAAGAGCCAGACGCTCAACCAACTGAGCCACCTGGGCGCCCTACATCAGATTCATCTCTTTTGACCAGTTTTAGTCTCTGGCAAGTCCCTTAACACCGTGGGTCTTGATTTTCTTTTCTATAAAATTGAGGGGCGCCCAGGTGGCTCAGTCGTTAAGCGACTGCCTTCGGCTCAGGTCATGATCCCAGGGTCCTGGGATCGAGCCCCACATCGGGCTCCCTGCTCAGCGGGAAGCCTGCTTTTCCCTCTCCCACTCCCTCTGCTTGTGTTCCCTCTCTTGCTGTCTCTCTCTCTGTCAAATAAATAAATAAAATCTTAAAAAAAATTGAACTTGCTAGTCTTGTAAAACTTCATATTGCTGACTTCTATATGATTTGTAAATACTGTTTTAGAATCTTAAAATAGCATTTTTATTTTGTTAATGACTTTAAAAAAATTACAAAGGTATGTTTGTTGTTAGTGAATTTGGAGAAAAGAGAACACTGCAAGAAAAAAAAAGCAAAAAAGTCCTTTCTCTACTTCTAAACCCATGTAAAATGACTGTTATTTTTCTTTCCAGACTTATCTAAATATTTTTCATGTGTCTATTTATACATAAGTGGAATTATTTTTTAACCTTGTATATTGACAAATCCCTGAAAATTTCAAAGCATTTCTAATGACTGTTTGATATTCTGTTGCTTAGCTGTTTTAAAAATTGTATAATTATTCTATTATTGGGCATTTAAATTATTTTGAAGTTTTCATTTGTGTCCGTTATTTGCCTCTAACTCTTTTCTTTTTTTTGCCTCTAACTCTTAATGATCTTCTCAACATCAAGTCCTTGAAGACTCTTTGCTAGATGAAAGGGCACTCACTAAAATTCGTGGTTTATTGTAGCTAAAATTTTTATATCTTAAAGTCCTTTCAGTTTGATATTTGCTCTTTTAATTCAAACAAAACTCTCATTAACTGGAGCTGAACAAATGAGATCCCATCCATTTGTTAGATGGAGAGACACAAATACTTTCAAGTAAGCAAGGGTATTTTTTCATCAAAAAACCTGCCAGAATGTTTTCTGGGGTCGGTACTCATTTACACCCAGGTCCTAAGCATGTATTTATGTCACCAGTGCTTTGAGAGAAATGTCCCTCAGGAATGGGCTGGAAATACCCGTGTCCTGTAGTAGAAGATATTTGATTATGTTTTTTTCAACTTATAAAGGCAGAGAAGTGGATGAATATTAATTTTTTTTTTAATTTTCACAGTAAGAGCTGTGTGAAGTTTCAGTTTCAGAAAGTAAATACTTTCTTTGACAGTCCCACTTCTGAGATAGAATTTTAAGATCATCTTAGAGCTCTCCACCAGAATCTTCTGAAACATCTCCTTACAAAGCTAACCTAACTGTTGGAACTCTTTAGACTTAATTCTGTAGAATCTTTAAGACTTTTGGGGGAAAAAAAAATTTCTAGAGTCAAATGTGATTGGTCTAATATTTTGCAATTGTTTTAGGCAAAGGGGCAGATTTGAGTAAGCCTCCGTGCCGGAAAGCAAAGGAAATCCGGAAAGAAAGGAAAAGGTTAAAACTCATGCAGCAGAACCCAGCTGGAGAACTTGAGGGTTTCCAGGCTCATGGTGAACCACCATCTTTGTTCCCACCAAAGGCTAATAAATCCAACCAGCCCAAATCACTTGAAGATTTAATTTTTGAATCTTTACCAGAGAATGCATCACACAAGTTAGAGGTACTTTGGAGGGTGTTTTGTTTTATTTTTTTGTTGTTGTTGGTACCTTGATTATTTTCATTTGAGGTCATACTAAGTTGATATTTTGCTGTTTAAATAATGGGAAATTAAGTGAATTGGGATGGAGTAGCATTTGTATTTACTAGGTTAACTGCTATTTGAGAAAAACCTTTTTTCTTTTTAAGATTTAAAATAAGTACTTCATGCAGTTTGGCTACTAAAGTTGTGAAAATAATTCCAGTTTTAGCATGTTACTATGTAAGGGACTCTGGCTTTTTGTATCCCTTGATTGAAATTTAGTAGTTAAAGTGACAAAATATACTATTTAAAATTTCACTGTTAGCAATTTCGGTTAGATCCTGAAGGAGAATAGATCACACCAGGCAAATCACTGTTTTATCCATTCTAGTATCCTGATCTTCATTAAGGCAACAAATGGTAGTACATATGCGAGCCAGCAATTAGGAATTAACTAAATAGTACTAAGTTGTATGACTTTAATCCTCTCTCAGTAATTCTCTCAAACCTCTGTAGGCATAGTATGATTACTTTTAGAGTATTCCTATTATTTTTTATTTACATCCCAGATTAAATCTACATTCTTCAGTATTTGGTGTTCATACATTTTTTTCTGAAACATTAATGATAATGATTTTATTATATTCTCATATCTCAATAACTGGTCAGCCTTTGAATTTGTAGCTTAATACCATCTAAGAGCTTTGCTACGGACCTGATATTGAAAATTAACTTTAATGCAATCTTAACCTTAGGATCATATATATTATCAGACATAAGTCTTAACAACTTTGACTACTATAATTCCTTAACTGCTCTGATTTTGGTATTGACTTTCTCCTTCTCAAATTGTAAAGAGAATTGAACATACTACTTAAAGTATGTAATAGCAGTTCGGCAGCAGGCAGCTTTTACTTTTCTAACGTAATGATACCTTGGGTAGGCAGAGACTTTTTGTCCACCGTATATTACTCTTTCTTTGCAGAAGAATTGCTTCTTATGGCATACGTGAAAATTTTCCAGTTAGCCCTTTTATTATACTGCATTCGATTTTCTGTTTTACTATTGTGTTTTGCTAACACATTTTAACTGGTTAGTGAATAATCAATGTTAAAATAAGTGTTCACCATTACTGTGCAGTTACTGTTAACTCATCCTTATTTTGTTTGTGAGGAAACTAAGGCACAGAGAGGTAAATTTATTTGCTTGACCAAGATGGTGACATTGAAAATTTGAGTAAAAGAAATCTAACTTTAGGGTCTTCATTCTTAACTATGCCATGAAATAGGAATACTTTGTGAGGGTTGTCTTTCACACTTATAAAAACAAAATCTGTAAGTTTAGAGTTAGGAGTGATGCCTGAAGAGTGTCTAGAAAATATATTCACATTTTTAGTTTTTCTGAATGATTTACTGAAGGTGAGTTGCATACAACTGGAATTCAAGAGTATTTATTTGTGTTTGTGTCTTGAGTGCCAGAAGTATCCTGCCATTTTACAGTAGAGTCAGTCTTCCATAATTCAGTCCTAGATCTTAGCCTTAAGAGTTTAGACAGGATCTGCCTTTTTAATGAGTCTGTAAGTTGGAGAAATAACTTTTTAAAAAAATTTACTATCTTGTTAATTTTTAATGTTAAAATATTATCGTATGTTTATGCTTTAATATTTGTATGGGAACTTTTGGTTCTTTTTGGGTGGGAGTAACTGTTAATGCGTATTCTGTGGAATAAATAATTAACAAACATTGTTTTTTTAACTCCTTCTGAAGGTGAGGGTGGTGAGGTCATCTCCACCAAGTTCTCAGTTCAAAGCCACATTTCAGGAGTCTTACCAGGTCTATAAACGTTACCAGATGGTTATTCACAAGGATCCACCTGATAAACCAACTGTGAGCCAGGTCAGCAGGCCAAGTGTAATTTTTCTGTGCAAATGGAACTTCCCCCTCCATTTGATACCATTGTATTATAACTTGATTTATTTGTGGTACATTTTATTTATATTCAATTTGCAGCATATCTGCAAAATGATAGGAATGTGGAGTAATGGACATTCTGAAAGTGCAAATTTTACCTAGGACATGTTAAGTGCCAGTCACGTGTAACTGCAAAGTGGAAAGTAACACGTAAAATGAATTATCTTTAAAGTTGCTATGTCTGGATGTATTTATCTAAAAATTAGTAATAGAACTCTAAGATAAAATATTTATGTGGAAAAAAGCAAAAAAGGCTTTATATTTTTATGATAAGCATACTTTGCACAACATGGTTAATAGGCTTTATCTCCATTTAAAAGTCATGTATGGACAGAGTTCATGACAGCTAAATTATACACAACTGAGTGGGACTAGAAAAGTAAGACAGTAGAATTTTTTTAAAGATAATAGAATATTTTAATAGAAGTTCTCATATGCTTGTAATTTTGTAAATCAGAATATCCAAGAAAAATGTGGAAGGGGAAAAATCTTAATACTAGTAGAGGGGACAAAAGTAGTGACCACTACCATGAGCAACAATGTTGACTCTGTGCATAGAACCACAATAGGTGGAAAGGGTAAAAAATAAAAGAAAAATAAATTGTCCTGGCCCTTAGGAGTTAAAAATTCTCCTAAGTGTTAGTATAAAGTTAGCGCTTTCAGCTCTGGGCCAGTCAGCACGTTCCAGGGTTTATTTATTTCATGAAAAACTCCAGCGCTGAGCTTTGGAAGTGGATTTGCGGAGATCTTACTCTAGCCTCACCTTCAGAAGCACATCAGCAGGTAGAGATGTTTCAATAGCATTTGCTTGTATTTTCCTTGCTCTGAAGGTGAGGTTAGTACCTGTCTCCTTTGAGGACCCAGAGTTCAAGTCGTCCTTCAGCCAGTCATTTTCTTTATATGTCAAGTATCAAATGGCCATCCACCAGGATCCGCCTGATGAATGTGGGAAGACTGAGGTACCTTTTGTGAAATGTTTATTCCTATCTTGATGAGGTTGTCTGTGAAGAAGCATAATATAGAACTTTCTTTTGCTCTTTCCTTATTTGTTAAGTAAAGCTGATGATCCTTTTCAGTGTATGTGACTAAACTTTTATGAAAACAAGTCCTACATGTGAGCATTTAAGTCCCTCAGAAAAAAGGATAGGTTTGTATTCAGGGTTCTCAGAACCTGGCGTAGTGTGTGTATGTGTTCAGTCATCAGGCTGAGTCAGCAAACACCACTGACCGCTGCTTATGTGCCAGACCAGACCATGGGCCACGGCACAAAGGGAAGAATCTCTGCCTTCGAGGAGTTGATAATCAAATGGGAAAGATGGACCAGTGAACAAACATATCTTATCAAGAAGCCGGTGGGAAAGAATTAAATATGTTGAGATTATATAGACTATCACTTAACAAGCATTTAGTGAGGGCTTATATTTTCCACGCTGGAGAGATCTAGATGAATGAGAGATTGCATAGTTGTCACAGGAGGGATATATTAGAAGAAAGATGCCAACAGATAAGAAGAATTAAAATTTGGATTTGTTTGTTTTAATGGCACTGTGTTAGATTAAAAGAGAGTAAGACAAGAGTTAATGCTGTATGTTCCCTGAGAGAGGGCTGACTTTCAGGTTTCCCAGAACCTTACTGGGTCAAGTGTGGTCTGCAGACCAACAGCATCCACCTGGGATGCAGAATCTGGGGTCCCACTTCAGCCCTGCTGAATCCAAATCTGCATTTTGAATTAGGTCTCTGGGCAATTTGAATGCCCATTCCAATTTGGGAAGTGCTTCCATAAGTTCCCCATTGAGCCATGCAGCTGTGGATGATAGTGTTTACAAATAGTAAGGAGTCTGCCAGATGCAAACAGCTCCTTTTGATATTCTCAGGGGGTTTTACTCCTGAACATTACTCCTTCCTGTTACCCTGGAGATTTTGGCTTTGTGCTGCCTGCCTACCAGGTATGAATGGTTGGGCCATGACACCAGGTCATGATCTGATGTGTTTACGGGGTAAAGATTACTTTCCTGGAACTTCACCCACTTAGGCTTCAGGCCTCCATGGAGTCCAGTCCTGCAGACTAGTCCGTTGCTACCAGTGTTCACAGCCTGATTGGTGCAACAGAGGGGCAGGCAGTTCCAGTGCCATTAGGGTTAGCTATTGGATTAGTAAGTAGGGGAAGCCAGCTTAGTATGGGACTGGAGGTTAAGGAGGTTTTCTGAAGGAGGTGACTTCTGAGCCAAGTCTTTAAAGGATAAATAAATGTTTGTCAGGCCAAAAGGGAGAAGGGCATTCTTGGCAACAGGACTATATGTAAGAAGTATAAAATGCCACCTATGGAATATTCTTGCTGAAGAAACTGAACCTGAATTATAAGCTTCTAGATGGAATAACCGGTTCACAAAAAATATGAGGGATAAAGGATTATTTAAAATGATACCTGGGCACTTCTGTAAGATAAATCTATAATAAACAGTGTTTAAAAGGAGGGAAATCTCTAGATTAAAAGCTATAAACTTTAAAAAAATACGTAACTACAGTACCATAATCATGCCCAGCAAGCTTAACAATAATTATGTCATCTCATGCCTAGTACATGTTAGATTTTCTTTAGTTGTCTCAAAATGTCTTTTTTTTTAAATGTCTTTTTATAGTTTGTTTGGATCGGGATTCTTATAAGATCTATACATCCCATTTGGTTGAACATCTTTAATTTAAAATAAATTTCCCTCTTGTTTTTAATAGCATTTTTTAAAGAAACTGGGTCGTTTATCTTAGAATTAATTTTGCTTCTAATGATACTTTTTGAAAATGTAAACACATACACGTGTGGTATCTGTGTGATCTCTCCGTATATGTGGTGTGTGTATGTGTATCTCTGTGTACGCATGTTTGACAACATACCAGTACATATACATACTTAGACTTACATGCACATGTTTCCCGTTCTTTATTATACAAACATACTATACTTGGAGGTCACACAAGAACAATATATAGAGATCTTCATTTTCTGGCTGCTGGGTACTTGAATGATTTCTTCATTCTGACCTTTACCGGTGGCCATCTGGTGATTTCTAGTCTTTTACCCTTTCATAGTGTTGCACTGAGTACCCTTGTACATAGAATTGTTTGTATTTTTGTCACTGTATCTTTGTGATAAGCTTCCAGATTGCTGGGTCAGTTCCTCTCCAGAGGAATTCCTTTTCACAGGGTTTGTACCCTTTTGTAGCCAGCAGTCTTATGTGAATGCTTGTTCCTCCATGGCCTTGGTCACTGAGATTTTTATAAGAAATGTGAGTTTTTGCCATATACATGCAAATGAAATTTGTGTCGTTTTAATTTTCATTCCTTTTATTATAAATGAAATTGAGCATGTTTTCTTATGTTTAAAATCCATTTGAGTTTTATCTTCTGTGAACCATGTGGTCATAGTTTTGCTTGTTTTTCTAGGAGTACTTTTTTTCTGTCCATTTCTTAGAAACTGTTTATATATTAAGGACCTAAGCCCTTGGGATAAAAGTTGCAGATATTCCTCTTTAGTTTGTCATTTATCTTTTTACTTTGCTTATGGTGTTTTGCAGTGCCAAAGTTGATTATTATGCCATCAGATAATCAAGGGACCAGAATTTGCAGACCTTAAGGTCTTGGACTTTAACCTTAGCAATAATAAAGAATGACTGAAGGATTTTAGATAGTGGAGCTAGAGAATTCCATTTAGTTGTTAAGAAATGTGTTAGGACTTGAGAGGCAACAGAAACCAAAGTTGAATTGATTTTTTTAAAGAAAGGATTATTTGCCTATGTAACAAAGAAGTTTTGGCTTCATTAGATCTCAGGAAAATACCATTAGTGTCTCTTGCTTGTGGTCTCCCAGCTTGCTTTCTTTGTAAGGATTGAATCTGATGCAGGTACATGGTGGCAGAGATGAATACTGCCAGTTTGAGGTAGGTTGTTCTCACAGGAAGTGATCTCAGTAAAAAATAATGTGCACTTCTTTTCTTATTTCAGTAAGAAGTCCCGAGGAAGGTACTGATTGGCCCAACTTTTTTTTTTTTAAAGATTTATTTATTTATTTATTTGAGAGAGAGAATGAGATAGAGAGAGAGAGAACATGAGAGGGGGGAGGGTCAGAGGGAGAAGCAGACTCCCTGCCGAGCAGGGAGCCCAATGCGGGACTCGATCCCGGGACTCCAGGATCATGACCTGATCCGAAGGCAGTTGCTCAGCCAACTGAGCCACCAGGTGCCCTGATTGGCCCAACTTGAGATACATTCTTATCCCTAAACCAGTCACTGTGACTGGAGGATGGAGAACTTTGGTCATGTCTGGATCACATGCCCCACCCAAGAGCTTAGTTGGAGGAAGGTGCTTATTTGAACCACATATTTTAAGAGGAGTGGATGAGTGGTTCCCACAATAATGTTGGCCAGGTTTTATTTAAGAGTGGTGAGACTTGAGGCAGAGCCAGTGAGGTATGATGGACTTGAAGTCATACTGGTAGGAAGAGGAGGGTGGGGGTACAGCAGACACTTCGGAGGTAGAGTTGATGAGGTTTTGATGTTTGACTTGAAGGATGTTTGGGAGTTGGAAATGGAGGAGAGGGACGAGTCCAGATTGATTTTCCGTTTCTGGCTTGCATGACTAGGTAGATGATGGTGACCTTATCTGAGATAAATACCAGAGGAAGAAGAATTTGTGCATTTTGAGACAGAAGATGAGTTCTGTGTCGGCTAGGTTGAGTTTGAGAAGCCTGTGGGACAACTAACTGTGGGAAGATACTAATCAGAAACCAGCATCTGGAACTTAGCATCTGGAGAGGCTCCAGGGTGGTGGTCTGTATTTACACTGAAGGTATGAATGAGGGTCCCCTCCCCCCGACCATGGGGCTTGAACTCACAATTCTGAGATCAAGACCTGAGCTGGGATCCAGAGTTGGATGCTTAACTGACTGAGCCACACAGGCACCTTGATTGAGGTTTTTTAAAAAAGGCTTTGTATTCTTCTGTCTGTGTGCTAGGTTATGTTTTCTTAATTTTGTTATATATTATGGGACAACTCTAGTGTGTGGTGTAAATGATGCATATTATAGGGTAGTAATCCATACTATAAAAGTGGTATATATTTTTTTAAGAAAAATGAACATGGCATTTAAATAAAATTCTACAGTAAATTTTAATTTGAGCCATTCAGATTTGTTTCCTTTTGTATGCAGTGAAGTGTACATTTTTAATTTACATTCACTGCTGTCAGTACTGAACTCTGGGTATGTGATTTGACCGTGTGTTTAAATAGAAATATGTAATGGACTTCTTTACTATAGCAAAATAGCTTTGCCTTAATGATCTATTTTATAGGGTCACATGCTTACAGCAAATTTGTACTAGTGAAAATGATTTTGACAGAATAGTACTTTGATATCATACAAGTGAGTATGGCTTGGTAATTATATTGGGTTTGATAAATCCTTTGACTTTGAGATCATCCATAGCATTTTATTTACCTGACATCTAACTGAATTTGTGCAGTTTTCAGAGACATATGAAATGATAGTTTTTCTTATAAGCTGATTTGTCTGTCATCTCTCTGAATATAGTTTCTAAGAATAAACGTAAAATAATACCTTGCAGGTCAAGACCCTGCACTATGCTTTTTTTTTTTTAAAATAGAGATTTTTTTTCCATGCATGCTGATCATTAGCTTTTTTTTTAAATTTTATTTATTTTTGAGAGAGAGAGAGAATGACAGAGAGAGAGAGAATGAGAGGGGAGAGGGTCAGAGGGAGAAGCAGACTCCCCACTGAGCAGGGAGCCCGATGCAGGACGCGATCCCAGGACTCCAGGATCATTGACCTGAGCCGAAGGCAGTCGCTTAACTGACTGAGCCGCCCAGGCACCCTGTGCTTTTTTTTTTTTTTAATAACAGCTTTATTGAGATATAATTCACCCATTTAAAGTATATGATTCAGTGGTTTT